TTCCATCCTTCTGAGGTCAATAAAATGAGAACCCAGATTGTTGGAGGCAATAGGCTGACTCTGTAAACCACTCAGAGAGGACTGTAGATCACTGTGAAGTGGTATCTAAGTCTAAGTGCTATTGCTATTGCTTTGAAATACAAAAGCAAGATAAAAGGCAAGATCACTAAAGGGGTAGCCCCTTTTCAGTTAATCCACCAACCACCTCCACTACTTAATCCACCAACCACCTCCACTACTGAGCTAACCCATGCTAATTGGCAGAGTCAGGTTTTAATGCCCAGTGGTATTTTAAGGCAGACCAGTGGTGAAATGTAAAATTTGTTACTATCGGTTCTGTGGGCGTGGCTTGGTGGTGGTGGAGTAATGTGACTGGGTGGGCGTGGCCAACTTTTTTTTTTATTTTTAAAAGCATTTTTTCTGCAACCTCTTCAGCTGAAGAGGTTGTAGAAAAAATGCTTTAAAAAGCCTCTGATGATCCCAGCTGAGCTTCGCAATAATCAGAGGCTTTTTTTTTTTTTAACTTTTAAAAGCATTTTTTTTCGGCTGAAAAGGTTGTAGAAAAAATGCTTTTAAAAGTTTTTTTTTTTAATAAAGCCTCTGATGATCGTGTGGCTCAGCTGGGCATTGGGTGGGGGGGGACAGGGATTTTTGCTACTGGTTCTCCGAACTACCTGCCGCCATTGCTACTGGATTGGGCGATCCAGTCAGAACTGGGAGCATTTCACCCCTGTGGCAGACCTTACCATAGGCATGGAAGTATTTCATATGGGCCATGGAAGAGTAGCCTTTCCTTCTGGACCTGCTGACTGAAATTCTTTGACAGATGAGATCTGCAGCATGCCCCTTCTGCCAGTCTGATGAGATGGGCTGACCACATTGGAGTGAGATGATTCCTCAGATAATCTGCCTTCATGCTATGAAGAGTTTAGGACATAATCTAGTTAAAATTATGTCCATTGTGCCCCAAAAAGTTGGAAGAGACTGAGTGATGGAACAACAAATTATTTCAAGCTACAGGATGAAAGCAGTTTGAATGTTTGGCTCTTTTTTCCCCCCTTTAACTAGAGAACTCATTTGCAAAGCTTACTTCAATTCAGGTCATTGTACACACTGATTTGAAAAACTGTACTGTAACAAACAGTCACACCCAAGGCTGGCAGATGCCTGGTTTGTGCAAATGCACACAAGTTCCAGACAGGTTTACAAAGCAGTAAGCCTTGTGGAAGAGCCGGTCAGTTAGAGTTTAATCCAAAACAGAGCACAGGATCACAGATATAAATCAGTGGTGGGTTGCTACCCGTTCGCCCCAGATCAGGCAAACCGGTAGCTTCTGTGTATGTGTGCAAGCACACGCAAACCGATAGCAAACTAAATTGAAACCCACTATTGGTATAAATGTATCCAAAACAAAAATCCAGTAGCCAAGAAAGATGACAGTAGTCAACAAGTCCAAGAACCAAGGTTAGGTTACAAGCTATGTCAAGGACATAGGAACAAGAACCCCATGGTGGGCCTCTTCCACAAAAGAGGGAAGCTATTGGTGGCTGCTCTAACATAGTTTAGCAACAGGTGTAGCTCAGTTAAGGGACTTCACAACATTGCTTCCCAAAGAGACAAACAGAGGAATTCTACTTAGCCTTCTGAAATTCCTGATGCCTCCTTGAGATGAGTGGTCAGCCAGGTTCTGGGCACTCATCAGTTCTTTTTGATTTTTAGCTGAGTCAGCCTCAGATGCTTCATTCTTTATCAACTCCTGAGGCTGTGTGATGGTATGTGAGAATTATTTTGAGAGATGAGGGGAACGCTACCTAGGGAACAGTCAGATTGGGGGGGGGGGAGGAGAGCCCAGAACTGCACAATGGGCAGAGAAAGAAATGTATAAAGGACACACCTTAACTTCTGAGACAGTGGGAGATTTGTACTTTCAGACAGATTCTGATTAATGTGGCCTTGCAATAAAACTGAATTAATTCATCTGGTCTGTTTCCTGTCTGGTCTACCTGTGAAGGCTGATTCTAGAAACTGCTCCACAAATAAATGATTTTTGTAAAGCTTTCTAGGCTTGTAATTTGAATTTGGAAGCAGGTAGATTAAAAAATAAGCCCAATAAAATTCATTCTATCCTGTTATGGATTTTGGGGTGTGAGATTGCAGAGAAACAGAAAAGAGATTTTTAGTTCTGTGTTTTTTATCTGTCCAAAAACCTGTTCACATCCAGCTCTTATGTTATTTTCTCCTGAAATAATAATGTCTTTCTTATTGGTTGCTTTCTGGAACAAATCTTACCTGATGTTCTAAATCAGTTCCTTTTTTTGCAAGTAAAAACTAGATAGTGGCAGGTTTCTCCTGCTGGAACTAAGTAAAAATGTCATCTTTGAACTAAGGATCTGTGAATCAATAAGGCTGATAAATATGTTTTTCAAAAATTTCTATGGTTTACTTTTAACCAGCTTCCCTATGTAATATCTCTTCCAGTGGTGGAAGATTTATTTTTTTAAAAAATTAAAAATCCAATTTAACTATTATTGACTTTTCTCCTAGACCATATAGAGAAGGAGTTTCAAAGTAAGTCTATCAATTAAATTAGCAATGCAATTCACAGACTGTCAGTTTCCTTCATTGTAAATAAGAAAAAATGAGTAGCAAGAGAAGTTGTTTTCCAACTGTTTTTGTAAATGATGGATATTTTGTTAACAGGTGTCACAGGCACAGAGAACCAGAAAAAGTGTTCGTAGGAAGAGAATGATTGTTTGTTTTCATGTTTAATATATACATGAACAGAAAATTGAAAACTCAGCTTTTTCTCCTGTAAGGTTGGCTTTTTAAGAGACCAGATGGGATAGGCATAATCAAGAGGCAAAGAATAATGACAAACCTGACTTGTTTTTTATAATGTGTATTAAGTATATAATATACTTAATACCTGCAAATAGCTTCTACTGTAAAATCTCTCCAAAATATGAAAAGTGATATGGATACTTGAAATAATTCATTCATTCTGCAGAACAAGATATTTAGAATTGACTGTATGCCAAGGCTTTGCATATGCTTTTAAATAATTCAAAATAATTATTGTAAATCCTCTTCAGATTTACAATATATGCATGTGAAAAAATGGTAACAGGACCACATTGTTGGCCCATTGAAGCACAGTGATTTAAAATAGGACATTTGGATTCAAGTGTCCTATATCTACTGGAAATTCCATGCAACCACCCACATAAAACTTTGGGTCAATAGGTGCCTCACTTTATAGCTAAGCAAAAGGCAAAGAGTGGAACCAGTAGGAAGATAGCATGGCATCCAGAGCATAGACAGTGATGCAGTTATTCTTCCTTTTTTAATTTCTCTATCCATTGTATACAAACAGAGACAACAAGGGAAAAAAATTATATCCCTGAACATATCCACAACCCTGCCCCACAAAAAAATCTCGCTATAGGAGAACATTCCTATATTACTTCCCTTACTATGGAATAAAATTCAGTGAATGAAAGGCATTTACTCTAGAAAAGATAGAGATAAGCTCTTAAGTGTTGACAAGTTTTTAACACTCTTAATTTAAGAAGCCAAAGTTGAATTTGATACCACAAAAGTGAAATTCGAAAATTTGCATCATCAAAACTTTCTTCTTCTACAAGCTCTCAATATACTCTTACCATCTGCTGTGAAGTCTTGGGGGACCTTTTGGAGCGTACACTGTGGGTGTATAGAAGCTGTTTTTGTGGCTCTATAATACAACCATGGTGATGGATTTCACCCTTCCTTATCCATACAAATAAAGCTTACATTTTGTGTTACTGTGACTGGATAAATTAGTTATTCAGGTTAAGCATAATGATCAGGTCTTTTGACTTACACAACTAATGAGATGTGTTTTTAATTGATTATGTTTTACTTTTTAACTCTCAACTGTTTAAAAATATCCAATGGATAGAAAGGTTGGATAAAATTATATACATGTGTATGTATGTATGTATGTATGTATGTATGTATGTACATATTGCTTTTTGATAATAACTTTTTATGGCCTCTAGGAGCTGACACAAAGCTTTTAGTGACGACATGCAACAAAGGATACAACTCTAACACCAAAATTTAAGAAGTGTATTTGTTCCTTTATCAAATAAAGCCAGAGCATATTTCTCCTCTGTGCAAAAAATATTACATATAAAAAAAAAATAAAAATTAATATTAAGAGGTAGATTTTTTTTTGCTTTTTAGTACTTAAAGGTGCCCTTTTCCCACAATATCTGATTCTGGTTTGTTTGTTTGTGTAAATCACACTGAATGTTACAGAATGATTGAAATGGCCTTTGTATGCAAAGTATCTCACCTTCCTCGATTTTCATTTATCAAATCTGTGCCCTAATTGTCCTCAATATTCAACAACTGGAATCAATTTTGGCTTAATCTGTGTGAAGTTTATGACCCTTACATGTTGGAAATGAAAATTTTGTTGTTTACAAGAAGTGATATTTAAATCCATTATTAATTTAGTGTTTCATCCAGGTTCTTGTAAAACACTAAGAACTTCCCTTGCAGCATTGCAGTCTTTATCTTAAATCTGACACACCACCAAAGATATTAAGAAATATTACTAGTGAAAGTATTAGTATGAAGTGAAATGTTATCAATGGATGATAACAGTGGGGGGGAAAAGTCCTTTGGTTGATTATTGTCCAAAGTTTCTGACTTCCTGTACTAATCTGATACTAACATTTGTAAAACTTGAAAGCCATCTGCTGTATTTCAGAATAAGATGGATGAGCCAATTTCTCTAGCCCTCCAGATAATTCTTTATTCCCGTTTCCATCCCTTCTGAACTTTCATTGCCCACTATTTCTTTCACTGCTTATATTTATCTTGCTTCCAAAATCCTAGGTGAACTCAATGCTTTATAATCCAAATGTGTTAATAGGTTAAAAAAAAGAAGAAAAGGTGCATTTCATGGCTGCTTTTTGGCAAGTCTAAGTTCCCTTTGTTTGTTCTCCCAGGTGAACCATCACGATGGTCATCATCACACTGTGACTGCTGTTGCAAAAATGGCAAAGGTGATAAAGAAGGTGAAAGTGGCACATCCTGCAATGAACTCTCCACCTCTAGCTGTGACAGCCAATCAGAAGCCAGCTCCCCTCAAGAGACTGTCATCTGTGGCCCAGTCACCCGCCAATCCAATATACAGACTCTGGATCGACCAATCAAGAAAGGTCCTGTGCAGCTCCTTCAGCAGTCTGAAATCCGGAGGAAAAGTGACCTGCTTCGAACTCTAACTTCTGGCTCTAGAGAATCCAACTCTAGTAAAAAAAAAGCAGCAAAAGAAAAGCTCTCAATTGAGGAAGAATTAGAAAAATGCATCCAGGATTTTCTCAAAATCAAAATCCCAGACAGGTTTCCAGAACGAAAACATCCCTGGCAATCTGAACTTTTACGAAAATATCATCTATAGGAATGGGGTTTCGCCAAGGAAAATCACCTGTGCATCTTTAGAAATAGGATGAGGAAAAAGAATAATAATAACTTAAATCACACATAAAGAACCCATTGCTATGTCCTGCCTAATTTGCCTATTTCACCAAAGCTACTCTACTTCCATGTAAACAATGAGATAGGAGGAATAACAATGCATTTATTTGTTAGGCTGTTAACATACATCAAATGCTTGCAGTGCCACCTGCACATTGAAATCAAATGCTAAAGATCATTTACACTATGATTTATGGCAGCACCAATCTATTAGAGAGGTAAAATAAGGCAGAATCCTGGCAGGTGGTGATTTTTTTAAACTGCATGCATTCCTGAAATATTTTTAAAACATTATTTATCCATGGCCAGGATAGGCAAAGGCCAAGAATTCTGAAATTAAGAAATTGTCGTTCCAGTTTACAATAGGAGAGGCTATGTATACTTGTCTGTCTCTCTACCACTGTTTTTACCTTTTAACTGTGCTTTCTCTGAAAAATATTGACTACAATCCTTTGGCGACCAATTTATCTTGGTCTCTTCTTCTTCTTGATGGCTGAATTGTTCTTTTGGATATTTTAATTTTTGTATTTTTTTAATTTATTATTTATTTATTTAATTTTAAATTTTGTATGTATGAGAGCAGTCTGTTGTTGCTACCTGAATTTGCTTTGTCTGCATACCATGAACATCTCTGGGCACATCTCTGGGCACAGGCGTCTGTCAGCTTAGAAACATCTGAAAATCCACAGGTCCAATCCAGCTGCAGGCAGGTGATCACAATTATGTTTCCTTATTGAAGGTCATACTCAGCCTTTGGTCTTTTGGAATAGCAACGGGGAGAACCAGACCAAATTAGATTTCTTTATATTTAAGTAAAATCATGTTTAGTTAATATGATGTCCCCTTCCTCAAGTATTTACTAATTTCCCTTTTTCTCACATTCAAAACTATCATTAAAGTTTAAAGGGACCACCTATGGCCTTCTGCTGGATGCCTCTGCACTCAGTACAAACCTGCATGCAGAAATGGGATATTTCTGTGCAACCATAATGAGTTTTTCCTGTTTTGCCTTTAGCTGTTTTTCTACAAGCTCAGATCAAAATTGAAAAATTCAGAGAAGTTTAAAAGTCAGTCGGGATTCATTGGAGCGCAATGGCTGAAAAGAAATTGGTGGGAATTCTAGAATATATACAGATGAGATCTATGTGTTTTCTGAATTGCCAACTGTTTTTTGTAGCCCTGATCCAATTTATAATAGAAACTGAATATGCATAGAGAAATTAAGCAAGATATCTTTTATCTCCTACTCATCTGCATATCAGGTAAAGATAAAAGAATGGTGCCCCTTGTGCCCAATAATTGTACTTTATTGGTTTGTTTCAGTGGCTAGCATTTCTATAAACTGTAGGCTCTTTTGGCTAGCTATGTTTCCTTTCAATATAGGCTTCTCATATATTCTATATATAAATGTGATTTTTTTTTTTAAAATGAAAAAGAAGGCAGACTACTGAATAGGAGGACATGGATTATTTCTTTCTCTTTCAGGAGCAAGAATCAAATAGCTAAATTTTGATTTATATAAATTTGTCAGGCCTTGCAGTAAAAAAAAAAAAGCCATAAACTGGGAAATGCAGGCTCTCAGTTCCCTTCAAAACAGATGCCATTAGAAGAAATCACATGCCTAACATTACAAGATACATTTTGCATTATGGTTTGCAGGAAATTGATTGTCCCAGTGACAGGCAACATAGCACTCTGGCTGCCTGCATCTGAAGATGAAATTAAAAATTGAAAAGAGTCCACATGCACTCAGCTAATGGAAAGAGTCTGCTTGGCACTCTAGAAATTCCCTTGAAGGAGACGAAGTTCATTAATGAGTATCTTCTGCATCCAGAGCATTTAATGAAGAAGGCAGAGATATAATCATGTTTCTTTTGTGGAAGAGGGTGTGATTTTAGGAAGGAACTCCCCTGTGAGAACAGAGTTGAAAGCTCAAATATTACATAGCTGACTGTCATCTAAGTACCAGACAAAGTAGTAATTTCTTCAAGGAAATTTAAAGAGTATCATATGGATGCAGATAACTTATTTTATCTGCTTATCAATAATTTTATGACATAAATACAGTTTAGAGTAATAATACTGATAGTATTAGATACATATGTAGTCATTCTTTGCTTACACCAATGAAATTAATCAAATTGTCCAATGGATTTGAATAGATCTATTTTTAAGATTCAGTTTGTTCTGGTAATTGTTGTTATTAGCTATTTTATCCCACATTTGTTCAAAAAAGCTGACACTGTGCGGTAAAAATATGATAATCCCTTATCTCTGAGATAAACCAATGAGTTTCATGGCTAATGGGAATCTGAATTTACTTTCCACATTATGGAATGTGGAAAACCCCATCTTGAGCTCTGTCACAAATTAAGTCAGTCTCTCTCTCTCTCTCCTCCCTCCCTCTCTGTAATTTTGTGGAAGCACTCATATTAAGCAATATTTAACATTAGCAACTTTTTAAACTTTTTAACAATATGTTAAAGAAGCTATTCATACCAGAGACATTGGATTTATATTGATTTAATTAACTGGGGGATACCTGGATTAAATTAAATCCAGGCATTCTGGAAATCTCTCTCTCTCTCTCTCTCTCTCTCTCTCTCTCTCCATCCCCCCCCCTCCATCCCTCCCTATTTCTTTTTGCAAATCTGCCTGGAAGCTGTAAGGTATATTATCATCTATACTTTGGACAATAACTTCCATCATATAAAAAATATTTTCTATAGAATGTCTACAATGCTAATTTAAACTATATAGGTTTATAAATTATTTTGAGCAGGGCTTAGGCCATGTCTCCTCGCTTTATAAGTACAATTTTTCTTCCACAGTTTGGCAAGTAAATTATTGATGAAAAATTGTGAGAGTCTGAAAGGATAATTAGCCAGGTCAAACCTGCCTTTCACTCAAATATAGTAGCTTTTCTGCATATAGAACACAGTTATATTCCGATAATTGATTCACTAACCGTGGCAGACCTACTGGAAACTAAATCCCATTGAGTTCACTGGTATGTTTGTCCAGGTAAAATTCTAAAAGACAGAACTTTTAAAAGCAGCTAAATTGAACAGCTTTTTCCTGTGAGCCATCTCAACTTTTCTTGCACAACCTGCAGGTGCACTCATGAATGCATACACAGACCTACAAAGGTTTCAAAGTGAAAAAATCTTGCCACAATTCAATACCACCAAGTTACACCTAAATATTATAATAAAGACTATATTTCCCATCATTTGTAACATCCATGGTTCTTCCATCTCCTTATATCCTTTGGTAAATTAGGAGATGAGGATTGGCCATGCAAAGGGAGATTTGAATCTGGGTCTCATAATCTAACACTGTTATCCAAAGATGGCCACATTGCTGATCTTGGATGTAAAAGGCCTGCCAGGAAATTTTGTCATGATATCAATATGATAGGGAAAAATAATGCATCACAACATACCTGGCCTCATTTTTTTTAAGAATGCAGTTCATATATTATTATATCAGAGAAGAAAAAATGCAGCCAGTGTATAACAATGCAGGGGAAAAAAATCAGATGTGCAGCATGTGCACACTCACATACATTTCCTTGTATACTCATCAGTTTATCAAACTAAAAAACAAAACAAACTTTAAAATATAAAGTTATTAAAATTTAAACTGGAAATGTGAGCAATCAGAAAACTCAAACCATCAATATTGGTATTGGTATTCACCATTTGGGATGGGGACATAAGTGAAATAGATAAATGAAATGCTATGTTTTCAAAACCTTATATTCTACATCCCCTTCCCCCCAGTGTGGATTCAAAGTGGTTCACAAAATCAATAACAACATAAACAGCAAGCAAGAATAAGAACTAAATTGCTTAAAAATAAGCATATGGAAGTCCTGATAGCTATAAAAAGAAATCAATAAAGGTTAGTTTGCAAATGGAAAGAGGGCAGTTGAATTGTCCCAAAACAGTAGCCAGGAACAAGAGCCCGAAACCTTTAGTAACAAACTGAGATTTGACATCTACATATTCACGGTCCATATTTGCCTCATTAATATTTGAGCTTAAGAAGTCATTAAGAAGTTTGGACTGGGGAGGGGCAGTATTGGATTTCCCCCTCTAATTAATCTTGGCTGCTGGGATATGCGGTCAAAGTAGCAAACTGTGCCCTTGTCTTAATGATCAATGCTCAAACCCATAGGAGGCTTCTAATGAAGTCTATAAACAAAATCTTATAATGGAAATAAATCTAATTGACTGCTATGGGGTTTGGCCCTATCCACAGGCATTTAGGCAAACTTAGACTTGCCTGGTCTAAAGCATTTTTCACTTCTATAAGAGCAGTCTCTGTGAAGCACAAATCTGTTCTGCTCTTACTGCCACTGTTCCTAAATCTAGGTATACAAACAACAATAACAACAACAACAATAATAGGTCATTAGAGAGATTAAGACCTTAAAGCCCAAACTCAGTGAAAGAAATATCATTGAGGCAATTAACATCTGGGCAATTCTAACCAGTAGATACACAGCTGGAATAGTGGACTGGAGTCAAGCAGAAGTAAAAGTCCTGAATACGAAGACCAGAAAAATAATGACAGTGAATCATGCCCTTCAGCCATGCAGCAATGTTGACAGCTTAGTTTCCAATGGATAGAAATTAATCAATGAGAGAACCAACCTAAAGAGAAAGTTCCTAACAGTAAGAACAATCAACCAGTGGAACAACTTGCCATCAGAAGTTGTGGGTGCTCCATCACTGGAGGTTTTTAAGAAGAGATTGGACAACCATAGGTTCTCCTGGTTGATTAGGGAAATAGATTAGAGGGCCTCCAATGTCCCTTCCAACTCTGTTATTCTGATTCTACTTGCTAAGGAAAATAGGTGGGAATGGAATGTTGTAAATGCAGCAGACAGTTGAATAAAAAGAAGAGCATTGGAAAATATTTGAAGGAAAGTGAAGAAGATGTACCAAAGTTAGTACATATGAAGGCTTACTGAGTACCAGAGAGACTAAATTGCCTTAAAAGAAAGACTAAATGAAGAATGGAAAAGAGACATGGCAAGGAAAAGTATTACATGGCCAGTATATTAAAAAGCTAGCAGGCCAAGTAGATAACAATAATAGCTAAGAGCAGGAAAATTGCTCTTAGAGGAACTAATTCTGGCAGCACTAGACCAGTCCTTAAGAACAAATGCTTACAAGAACTGAGAAGACAACAACACAGAGCAAATGCCACTTTTCTAAGAAGCTGAAGGAACAGTGAACAACCTAGTTAGTTGTTGCAAAACATCACATTAATGGACTACAAACAATAGCAAGACAAAGTGGCAACAATGATGCATTGGAAGATCTGCAAGAAATATAATTTGTCTGCAAACAACTGGTGGTACCAACTGCTTTTTTAGAATTCAAGCATACAAATACTTGACATATAACACCCAGACTTAACAACTTTTGGTAAAAAAAAGAAAAAAGTCTGAATAGTGAACATGGCAGTGCCTAGAGAGAGCAGAATAGAAAAGAAGGAACTGAATAAAA